CCATCACCTGACCCGTGTCGTGTTATGTGAATGCAAGCGGGGGTTCAATGTCCCCTTGTTTTTGTCCCTCTTTCCCTTTTTGTGTTGGTATCATTGGGGCCCTGATTCCTATTTTACATGTGACTAACCTGTTTGTCCAGGTGGAGGCAGGGCTTATAAGGCTGAGTTCACCTGAAACTCATCAGACTGAAGAAGTCTCTTGGAGGAGAGACAAAACGTTTCACTAAAGAAGAACCATCCAGAGGACCTACTTATTTTTTCTTTTTGATTTTTTCTACTGAGATGCATCAGGACGTCATAAAATTGGTTCAACACCCAATAATATAATAAAGAAAAGTAGTTTTTAGTATTTTTCCCCTCCTGCTCCGCATTTCTCCTGACACTAATATTTGCACGTGGATGAAATTTGTACGCAGAGCATCCAAACACTGCTCTGTCACAGTGACAGAGAGGGAGAGTGGGTCTCTGAGGCCAGCAGGAGGAAGAGTCTTTTTACCACCCTATAAACAGAAAGACCAGCAGTGGAGCAAGAAACAGAGGGAAGGAGAAATAAAGGATGGGAGAGGAGGGAGGAAAAACAGTGAAACAGTCAACGAGGAGAAAAGCTGAACAGAAGAAATGCTGATAGAAAAGAATAGTAAAGTAGTGAGATTAGTTCATCTCAGACAGAAGCAACAAGAAACACGTCTTTGTTTTACTCACACTGCTGACTGGGGTCAGAATCTGCTGACATCTTGATATAATTAGTGGGGAACAGGCCGGTGACCCCGTTCACTTCTCCTTTCCACCAGTCGGGGTTGCTCTTGTCTAAAACATTAATGAGCTGCCCCTCAGAGAAGCTCAGCTCGTCCTGGTTGGCAGCGCTGTAGTCGTATATGGCTGTCACCTGGCAGACTGAGGCAGAGGACAGAAACGTCTTACTGCTCAGCCACAACACCTTTCATACAGGGAGCAGATTTGTCCTGAAGTGTGGTACCTGGCTGGGGTGCCGGCGTGGATTTACCACTGTTGGATGACAAGATTTTAACGTGAGAAGATGGGAACCAGCCTTTCTGACGCTTCTTTCCACGAGCCTACGGTCAGAGAGGAACGACAAACAGATCAAAGGATTGAAGCAGAAAATAAAAACGCAGACAAAGAATTAAATCCAAAGAACTCATGGTTCATTTACACAAACTATAAACGACAGATGTGTTAAAGGGATCCCTGATTAGTTGTAACATTAGACTTTATACGACAAACATATTTTAACTATAAAATAAAGACTGTAAAAATACTGTAGGATGTTCAGTTTTTATATTTTTTAAACTAAAAGTTTAAAAATATATTACACAGATGAGGCCATTTTATTTACACGCAAAGCATTCTGGGTAAATGATGACGTGGATAGGTCCTCGGTGTGAGCGAGCTATATCCA